TATCCATGGCCCCAGGAATCTCTCTCAGATTTCCTTCAACTCTCAACACTCTTCAGCGTGCCGTTCTTACATGCTCATCAGAGCTGCACTTTTGTTTGTGGAAGCAATGTGACACACATCAAACACAATACTCGAATGGACGTAGAGAGAGCACAAAAATGCCTGTCCTCTCTGAGTCGAACATAAACACCGATGTCAGAAATTCTCAGTTGCTTCTCAAAGAAAATTCCAGCATGGATGTGACACTATTCACATATATACCACATAAGCTGCCCTACATTCACCTGACTCCAGCACAGGCGACTTATGAGGCAGAAAATGAACTGAAAGGACATATTAGCACTGGGAATGTCCGGAAAGCTCAAAGGGTAAACAGAAGGGATACCTAACAGCTTTGTGTGCTGTCCTAATATCACACTAGACACTCGGGGAAATACTCGCACACACATATACTTTGCACAGTCAGCAAACATCAAACCTTCCAAACAAACCAGTTCCTAAATCCAAATGCATGTTGCAGCACTAGAAAATCCGGATTTTGGAGGAGTGTACACTGAATTGCAAACAAACAACTGTCCAGATCCTCGAAGAGTTCTAAATATTCTGCCTTTTTAAGAGATTGTTACGGATTTTCTATGATTTATTTGCATTTGTTTGATCAAAAACATATAAAAACTTAATATTACTACAGTAGAATTATCTGAAATACTATTGCTTTCAGAATCATTTTAAAATGTATTTTTTACATATTTGTCTTTAGTGTCATGTGGTCTTTCAGAAATCAATTTCCTTTTTTTGGGTTCAGAAGAACTTTTTTGTTTAAAATTAGAAACATTTGCATCATAATGACTGACTTAAAGTGCTCAGCATATATAATTACACCCTTAACAACCAAACAAATATCCACATCCTCAAAGAATTCTAAATATTCTGCCTTTTCAAGAGATTGTTACAGATTTTGTATGATTTATTTGCATTTGATTGATCAAAAACATAGTAAAAAACGAAAAATTACTACAGTAGAATTATCTGAGATACTGTTGCTTTCAGAATCATTTTAAAATGTATTTTACATATTTGTCTTTAGTGTGTCATGTGATCTTTCAGGAATCAATTCCTTTTTTGGGAGTTCAGAAGAGCGTTTTTGTTTTAAATGAGAAATATTTGCTACTTTATGAATGTCTTACAGTGCTCAGCATATATAAGTACACCCCTCACAAATCCATTATTTAAATTCATATTTTTAACAGGAAGCTCTACAATATTATATTTGTACATATACATTAGATTAGTCAGTCCTGGAGCCAAATCTGAAGCTAATCTAACAAAATAACATACGACAATGGTCCAAAAGCTAGTACACCCAAATGTATGTTATGGAAAAATATTAAATACAAATTTTAAAAAGAGGAAAAATCAAGAAAAGCACGTCGTGTTGAAATTTTGTAAGTTGTACATTTTTTGCAATATTTTTTTTCATTTAATTGTATTATCTTTCAGTTTCTAAATATGTTTGGTGATTAAATTATAAATTTAATAAATTTCAGTTTAATAAATCTGTTTTGTCTAAATGGACCAAAATAAATAGCCTATATTCACTGAGAAATGGATAATATTAATTTTCAAAATGGGGTGTACTCAATTATGCAGAGCACTGTAACAGATGAATTTAATCAATTTAAAGCATCCTTGCCTAATAAATAAATTCATGTCAAAAGCCTGACTCAAAACGATTGATTTGCATTTCAATACAAAAGTCCAATCCCAATCTACCTCTTAGCCCTTCCCCTTACTGGTGTTCCAATTCTCTTTAGCTTGAAGGCTTAGAGCTAAGGGGAAGGGCTAGATGGTCCTTGAAACAGATTTTTCAGGAGCACACTCGAAACCCAGGGGTAAGTAATTTTGACAGAATACACCATCTACAACAGCAGCATGGCTGCACACAGAAGTAAGGAGATGCACAAATTTGTATTTTTTGTCATTATTACAATTTTTTACAACAAACAAGCATATACTTTAATACATTCATAACTGTTTTACCGTCATGCTTAAAAAAACAATAAAATAAAAAACGCAAAATAATATATGATAATAACTCCTGTATAGCAGTCCCACAACATTCTTTCACATTTGTCACTTGATGACACTCAAATACCCTGTCAGAAAAGTCTAGTGGCTGTGAATGAGCTTTTTACACTGTCTGTCTGGTATAATGTTAATGTTGTGTTTGTGTGATTACATAGATGAATATGGCCACACTTAAAATACACAGCACAGTTACGATCTTATTGCCACATTAGATTGTTATGATAACATGATATCCTAGCCTTCTATGATTTTCTGAAGATAAATACCAAAATATAACACAACTGGAATAGCTACAGCAGTCGCGATTGTCAATCTCATTTCAGGCAAGAGATTAATGACACAATGACTTGTGCAGGTGTTGTAGTGCTGTACCATTTCTTAGGGGTAAATTGTAAAGCCCTTCCCCTTCACACTCTGTTTCAAGGACCAAGAGGAAAGGAAAGGGGTATAAAAATACAATTGGGATTGGGCCAAAGTATAAATTCAACTGTATTTAAAATAAAAAACAAATTGACATTAAAAGTATGTTTTTTCACAGTGAAAGTGCTCTCTGTCTTCTCAAACATATGTAAAAAATTTCCTTATACCTACTTGCATGACAAAAGAAATTTATCAAAACAAAGACAAAAAGCTATTTCATTGACAAAGATGACAAAGTTCTTCTGAATGTCTCGCTAAATGGAATTATAACACCATATTAGACGTCAATGGTAATCGGTTGATGCAACAACCTAGCAAGCCAGCTGAAAGGAATTCACGCCGGCCACTCATTAATACATGATTACATCTCAAATTGAGGCCCCTTGGTCCTTTAGTTTCATTTCCCTCCCTCTTTTTATGTAACTGTCATGCCTATAAAGCTCAGAGAAGAAGAGCTAAAGAGTGGAGAAAAAAGCATTTCTTCAGGCAGAACTGGGGGAAGAAACCCCATGCTGGCCTACAAACAATGCTGTTTTGGAGAGAGCCAGCGCCGAGCTCGAATGAAGCCTGGCAGGGGGGTTAGGAATGGGGGCTAAAACTGGACACGTCAGTTATTAGGTCAGTCGAGAACAGTGAGGAGGGGGAAGAGAGCTGGAGAAAGCCAAGGAGAGAAGAAGAGAGCCAGAAAAGCAGAGAGACAGAGGAAGTAACTGTGCTAGTATAAGCTGGACACTGGTGGGTAATCATAGAGAGAAGAGGAGACTGGCAGAACCACAGGGTTTCTGCTGCTAGAGTCATCATCTCACCCCCCCACACCTGTCCATCACATACACTTTGGGTAGTTTCAGCCCCAAAACATCATGACAAGGACTCTGAGATAAACATCTGAGATTTCTTTTAAATGTGCTATTGTTCAAACTGGTTTACCAACAAAGCAGCCGTAGGGACATTTTTCACTTTATTTTGATGCTCTAGTTCAGACATTCTGTTGACTTTGGGTGTCAGCTAGCAGTCATTAGTCGACTGCCTACTTAAAATCTGCTAGCACTTTATTTTGATGGTCAGTCATTCTACTCTGTAAAAAAATGCATGGTTCCACACATTTCTCTCATGTTGTTCCAACACAAATCGATTAATTTACTTAATTGTTATTGCAAATTTAAGTAGATTGAACATAAAACAATTAAGATGTCATCCAAAAAAACACAATAAATGTGTTTATTCAGCTCTTTTCAAGTAGTTTGAACAACCAGCAAACATGTTTTGAGTGGAGTGACTTCGCAAGTATGTTCACTTATTCTATTAATCCTTAAACTAACCCAACAGTCTAATACTAACGCTTGAAGTTGAACATATTCAGCAAATAAAAAAATGGAACCGCTTGCTCACCCCAAGATTCATAACTATAACCAATAACTAAAACCATACATACAGTTGAAGTCAGAATTATTAGCCCCCCTGAATTATTAGTTTATTTTTTCCCCCAATTTCTGTTTAACAGGGAGATTTCTTTAACACATTTCTAGACATAATAGTTTTAAAAACTCATTTCTAATAACTGATTTATTTTATCTTTGCCATGATGACAGTAAATAATATTTGACTAGATATTTTTCAAGACACGTCTATACAGCTTAAATTGACATTTAAAGGCTTCACTAAGTTAATTAGGCAGGTTGAGTTAATTAGGCAAGTCATTGTAAAATGGTTTTATATAGCTTAAAGGGGCTAATAATTTTAATGATATAAAAAAAAAAAAACAGCTTTTATTCTAGCCAAAATAAAACAAGTAAGACTTTCTCCAGAAGAAAAAATATTATCAGACATGCTGTGAAAATTTCTTTTCTCTGTTAAATATTATTTGGAAAATATTTAAAAAGAGAAAAAAAAAACATCAAAGGGGGGCTAATAATTATGACTTTAACTGTATGTTAGAATTGACACACATGTATTTTTAATAGTGCACTGCAGTTTTGCTCTCTGTCCTTTTAAAGGTTAGAGCTCATTAAAGTGGCTGTAATTTAATCTGAAAGATATCCCAATTATACAGTACTGCCATTATTAGTTTTGGAATCATTTTTAAACCTATATAGTTTTCATCCTTTGTGTAAACATGTCTTAAAGGGATAGTTCACCTAAAATAAAAATTTACTTGCTATTTACTCACCCTCAAGTGATTCCAAAGCTTTATGAGTATCTTTTATTTTCTTTTGGACACATTTTTGAAGAATGTTAGGAACCCTTGACTTCCATAGTAAGAAACACAAATAGTGTGGAAGTTAATGGTTACCAGTTTCTAACATTCTTCAAAATATCTTCTTTTGTGTTCAACAGAAAAACAAAACAAACAGGTTTGTGGCAAGTGAAGGGTGAGTAAATGATGACAGAAATTTCCCTTCTCATTTGAACTATCCCTTTAACCCTATTATTCCAAATCTGATAAGTTACTCATTGCATTTGGTGTGTGTAAAAATCAGAAATGTAGCACTTACTATAGGGAACAATGGGACTCAGCATTCTGCGGACCTGGTCTTGATTATGGTAACAGTTCTGTGGGGAAACCCAGGTTAGCGTCTGTACGGCTGTAGTCCATCGCTGGCCTGGACTCGCATTAGGACTCTAAAAAACGTGTTTCTAGAAGAAAAAAAAAGAGGAGGAGCATTCAGTAGGGCTGAATGTACACACATACACTGCAACGCATTATTTCATTGTAAACGAACCAGTTCATGATGCATGAATGTGAGTTTAAGTACGTGCAACCTATAATCAAGACCCTCAATTTTGGAGAGGAGTGAAACAGTGACAGACACAAGCACTCTCACTGTGGGCTGAACACACACAGGGGTATTCATTAAGAGCCTGCACACAGGCATTAAGCTGATTGTATGGTTGTGTCCAGCTTCTAAAGAGGGCTTTCTAAATCTCCCTGACAAAAAGCACCATGCATACCATAGCCGTTCCCCTCGCCTCATAACAGCCGCAGAGAGCACGCTTTCAGAAAATTAAGCTCATTTCATCCCTCGCCACACACTCTCCTGGTTCAATTAACTCTCTTTTTTTCCTATGACAGATGCAAAAAGGGAGGAATATTAAAAGCAGCTATATTGTGCTTCACAATAAAGAACATATATCCAAACATAATAAACTGACAATAAAATAAAAGTATGGACATACTGTAGACAAATAATGCTTTAAAATAATAATAATAATAAATAAAATAAAAAACAATGTGTAAAAATGCAAAGGATCACAACATAACAACTAAAACAAATCCAATATGAACTTGATTTTCAATTCTATATGGAAATCCAGCATGAGCAATTTGTTTAGTGTGTCCTCAAAGGACAGCGTCATTCCTTCTCGAGTGAGCGTGTGGAAAAGCTCACACATGAATGAAAAATATTACATAATAATGCGAGTCAAACAGTGTGGCGTCCAGCCCTGCTTTCAGGAAATGAAATGTTGACCGTCCGACACACCATTCATTACGAAATTATACACTTAATTATAACATAAATCATTCTGAACATAAATCATTTTTAGTCACCAGTTAGTTTACTTCTCAATCTTTTTAGAAATTAGTTTTCTTTACATGTTCAATCTGTATCCCAGATTTTATATCAAAACGCAGAAATTGTGTGAAAAATTAGTTAGTTTAGTTTTATTACAGCTAATAGTTATTATTAGTTAGTTAGATTTATTAAAGTTAATTAACTGTATTTTTGTAATTATTATTATTAACTGTAATTTTGCTACAAATAATTTTAATACACTTTAATATGCCTTTATATATTTTATTGTATATAGATTTATTTTCCTGTATCTGCTGTTTTTGTGATTAAATGCAGATATTGTGTGAAACAGGATGTGTTTAAACATTCTCTTATAATTCACGTAAATACTAGCTTTGCGATTAAACACAATGTCTACATCTTTAGTTAATAATTTTAAATTAACTACTGGGTTTGCATGAAAAATATGAAATTATGTGAAAGTTTCAATATAATATTTTTAAAATGTAAATATTCTATTTGACTACCAGTTTTGTAACAACAACACCATCAAAAACAGTTTGAAGCTACATTTTTTTTGTAGATGACTCTCACAGTTTTTGTAATCGCTGGTTTTGTGATCAAATGTATTAAACTAATATTGTCAGATATGCTACAACCAATCTCCAAAAATGTCTTCCACAATGACAATTCTGAAATATTCACACCATGAATCCCTTCACATTTGCTCACTGCCCGAAAGACCACCCGAAACCAAGAGCCTCTAAACTCTGAGCATGAAGTCTGACACATCTACAAACCCAACTCATGCAGACATCAAGAGCGGCACGCTTACAAACACCTGCATGCAGAATGCAGAAGAGTCTCTTACACAGTAAAGCAATCAGGGTGCAATCAAACACAGTGGAGAACAAGGTAAATAGCACAGAATGACTATGAAGTAGAGGTAGAGGACAGTCCAATGCAGAGTCAAGACTTTAATCATTTACAGCTTCACCCAAGAAGCCCGGCGACAGCAGGAGGAAAGTGTCTGGTTTAATATCAGCGCAGACTCACCTACTCATGCCTGCATTTCCACATCAGATTCAAAAGCAGATAGATAATCCTCGGAGCAGACAGGCTCGTGTGTGCACTACTATGCTTTTTTTCCACATATGGGACACGACTCAACTCTCCTCTCTCTCTTTCCCTCCCAACCAGTGACAACAGAGCACCCACACACACACACAAACACACAATCACCCTCCCCCAGCTTTCCCATCCCCCTCTTTATTTTTTGTTAAAACTATTTAAGCAGAGAGAGAGAGAGAGAGAGAGAGAGAGAGAGAGAGAGAGAGAGAGAGAGAGGGAGAGAGAGAGAATGAGAGGAGGACTGTGGGTGGGGGCAGCTGACCAATCATGCTCGAAGTGCAGCTTGTGTTCTTTTTCTGAGAGAGAAACACACACACACATAGAGTGCTGGAGGGAAAGGCAAAGGCTGAGCTAGTCGTGTCCCTAAGGGAATTACCATAAAGATGTTTATTTTGGACCAAAATGGTCAAATTACTTCTGACTCTCTTGGCATTAGATATATTGTAAACATTGTATTACCAAAATGTGTCACATATGCCTCGGATCAGAACTATAACTTTCATTTGAACGCAAAATGAGTCAGAAAAAACATTATGTAGCCAATAAAGGGACCTTACACTTATTAAAAAAGTTAACTTTTAAAATTGAAGTACACTAAAACAAATTATTCAAAGATGATTCCTTGGATTTACTCTTTTTATTTTTTTGTTAAGTGGTTGTAAACAATTTATTTGGGCTGGATTTAAACAAACTAATGAAGGTACACATTTTAAATTTAATTAGTTTTTTTAAATTCAACACATTTAAATTGTTTGCAATAATTTTGCAGACATACATTTTTTTAAGTGTAGTAACTACTTTATTACTTAGTCATTTTACATTAATACATGATGCATGTAAAAACCACCTCAGGTAATGGTTGACATTTATAGAAAATATCTGACAGTTTCTCTAACTGCAGCATTTTTGACGAAAATGAGAAATTCTGCATTATTTTTATGTAGATGTTCTCTTTTACAACTACAAAACAATTTGTAACTGTGGGAAATTTTTTAATATATATATAGAATTTCGAGAACAGCACAATACACAAATTGTGCTTAATAAGTGCAATGACCAGATCACTTCACTCGAGACATCCACACAGACATCCCGTTTTGGAAAAGTAGACTTTATTTTATGACTGCCGGATAAATTATATATATATATATATATATATATATATATATATATATATATATATATATATATATATATATATATATATACAGTTGAAGTCAGAATTATTAGCCCCCCTGTTTAACTTTTTTCCCCAATTTCTGTTTAGTGGAGAGAAGACTTTTCTTCAACACATTTTCTAAACATAATAGTTTTAATAACTCATTTCCAATAACTGATTTATTTTATCTTTGTCATGATGACAGTAAAGAATATTGGACTAGATATTTTCAAGACACTTCTATACAGCTTAAAGTGACATTTAAAGTCAACTAGTAAACTAGGTTAATTAGGTTAACTAGGCAGGTTAGGATAATTGGGCAAGGTGTTCGATAACAATGGTTTGTTCTGTAGACTATCTAAAAACATATAGCTTAAAGGGACTAATACTTTTGACCCTAAAATGATGTTTAAAAAAAATTTCATCTTCTTTTTGGCTTAGTCCCTTTATTATTTAGAGGTCGCCACAGCGAATGAACCGCCAACTTATCCAGCATATGTTTTACACAGCACAAGATACCCTTCCAGCCGCAACCCAGTACTGGGAAACACCCATAAACTCTTGCAGTCACACAAATACACTACAGCAAATTTAGTTTATTCAATTCACCTGTACCACATGTCTTAGGACTGTTGATGAACCGAAGCACCTTGAGGGAACCCACACGAACATAGGGAGAACATGCAAACTCCACACAGAAAAGCCAACTAACCCAGCCGGGGCTAGAACCAATGACCTTCTTGCTGTGAGGCGATCATGCTACCTAATGTGCCACCGTGACGCCAGTCTTTATTAAATATTTTTTTATTACTCGTAGACCCAGACACTGGTTCTTCTAGTTTAATGCCGAGTTACAGACCAGCGTAAAGGTATATACTGCCACCCACGATCACAAAGTGTCCAGACCCCAAATTTGCAGGAAATCCAGGGCATTACAGAAAAAAATCTGAGATCTGCAAAATTTTGCACTGTTTCCTTGATTTTGCAATTAATTCAGTGATCGCAAAATCGTGAAGGGACTGAGTGAACACATTATTCATAACTAGACAAGCTTTGATTAGCTGCCTTCAACTTTTTAAAATAGGTTTTCACAATTCTAGAAAATATACTGCATAAAAACATTGCAATATGAAAATGCAGTATTTAACCTCAAACTGGCACTGAATAAAACTCAAAAGAAATGTCTAGACAATTGGCCTCAATTTGAAAGTGTTCTAGGCAATCACTTACTCTCATTTCTGTATCTGTTAACTGGACTTGCATCAGCAAAGGTCATGACCGCTATAGAAGCACTTTATTGACACCAAAGTCCAGGTTGACATGCTCAGGCGATTCAGCTTTTCTGCATTACCCATGTCAACGTTTCAGAAAAATGCTGAAACAACTTCCTTATAAAATAATTTAAACATTAGTCACTGGTTTCTGTTAACCATAAAGCTCACATGCAGCGTCAGTTCGAATGTTTACGTGGGAACACATGATATGACGGCAGCTGCCACACTGACCGTTTAGCATGTTAGCATGTTAGTATAGGAGGGGCCTAAAGTAATGGAAGCTGCATTCTATATGGACTCCCACATTTTCACAGGTGGACCGGGGAGTCCTGTGCTTTTATTTTTGGAGCTCATCAGCAATTTGGATGGAGTGTAAAGTGTGTGTGAGGTTGTGTATAGAGCATTTCTGCACAGCTGAGAATCTGTTTTTAGAGAGCTGTGTTCAGCCATGTGCCCCCAAAGCTGTTACATATATGGTAATGGTCATGTAAATCGTGACTTGTGCTGGGAAATATGATTATTTTTGTTTCCTCATTAATCTTGAGGCAACTTCTCATAAACATGAGTGCAAACTCTCACACCCAAAAGTGTTATGAAGTTGCATTACAAGTTATAGAATTGCAGTTAATATGTTTTGAAGTTAATTTGACCCAGATATCATGTTTAATGTTAGACCCTATACAAATGTTTTTTTTTTTATGTCAGGTTCTTAACAATTAATTGAGTGTATTTGGCATTTTTGGCAGATGATTTAATCCAAAGGTATATAGCATATAACGACATATATGCATTTATTCAGCTGTTAAACTGACTGCTTGAGAAATGAATCCATTGTGGAAGAAAGTAGCTCACACAAAATGTTTCAATGGCATTAGTTTGTTTCTCATTCACTTAATTTCTACATTTATATTTCACATCATTATTATTATTCACATTTGTGTTATATAAAAGCTATACCGCACTCATCCCCATGTGATATGACTCTATGGGCTCTATTTTAATGATCTAGGTGCAAAGTCTAAAGCGCATGGCGCAAAAGCATTAATAGCGCGTCTGAATCCATTTTTGCTATTTAAGGACATATGGAAAAATACACTCTTTGAACTGCTCTAACAGGGTTGTACTTATTCTCTTAATGAGTTATGGGTGTGTCCTGAGCATAACATGCATTAAACCAATCAGAGTCTCATCTCCCATTCCCTTTAAAGCGACTTCCGGCGACCTCCGTCTACGCGAGCGACAGCGATCGTGGGCAACCAGGTGGGCATGATAAGAGAGGCGACAAAGCAGAGAATCCTTCAACTTTATGCAAATAAAGAGCGAATTTCTTGAGCAACAGCCAATAGAAGCACCAGTAGAGCTCATGTGATCGTTTCTCTGATCGCTCAGAGGCCAGTCGTATTCGTGCTGTATAAACCTACACAGAGTGGCGTTTGCAGCAGTTCACCACTCAGCGACAGGCAGCTACAAAGACGCTGCTAGTCTGAATGAGGAATAGGAGTCAGTTGCATCGCGCCATGGCGCATTTGCTATTTACATGGCGGACTTTGTAAGTGGAAAAACAATGCTTCACTAGTGAGAAAATAGTTAAACAAACCATCTGCAGCATAAGGATAAAGAAAAAGCCTCCTCCGTTCAGCCTCTTTACTTTTTCTTTACGGTAATTTTAGTCTTTACCTTACTCCTTTACTTTTGTGCATAAGGAAACAGTGGAAACTCACTTCACTAAAAACATCCCTGATCAACATATTTAATTTTGTTTGTTTAGCACAAAGATTTGCTTCAAAACTATTTCTAAATTCAGTTATAATTTCCAGCACATGAATAAATGAACAATAATAACAAGTGTTTATGTCCTGGTTATTATAATATATACAAGAGTTATATCCAAACACACGTCCTATTCTTATGGTTATCCATTTGTTTCCAAAACCTGACAGGTGGACAAATCTAAACTTTTTTTTTTATTAAAACAAATATAAATATGCATATAATAAATATTACTACGACTAATAATAACATTATACAAATGCAAATTGCCGTGAATAAACTGAAAAAGCCCCCCGAGGTGAAGGCATGGAGGCAGTGCTTTTTATATTTATGTGTTGATTAATAATTTTAGTACCCTTTTAATCCTTTACTTTATGTCAAGATATTTCTGTATTGCTGTAGACCTTGTGCGTATTAAGCAATGTGTAAGCGTTTGGACCAGCATAAGCGCATAACTAACGCACTCTGCGCTGACTTTAGACCAGCTTTTACTTGGTCAATGGCGCAGTCTATTTTAGTGTCTCAAAATAGCAACGCGCAAACAATGTGCCCTAACACACCTCTTTTATAGATCAGAACACCCATCAGTCCAAAAATGGTGGAAATGAATTTGCCATTAAAACAACGTGGTGGAAAATGTAAAAACTACTGTTGTGCTGGTCTGAAAATAGCAAAAAGAAAAATCTCACCAAACACGTATTGCACCTTATTGTGTGTATGATTGTGTGTATGATAGGGCCCTATCTTAGCACAGTTGGGATCACTCGAAATTGCAGCAACAGTGATGCTCTTTATAA